ACAGTCTAGATGTGTTCTTGATGGGTTTTTTCATGCCCTTTTGGCATGCATGTTTAGTGTGTTCCAGTACATTTTGGATGCGTTTTGGACATGTTTACATTGCATTTTTGTATCCCTTCCACTTATTTTTTTCTATTTTCTTTGTATTCAATGTAGTTAGGGACATGTGCGTTTTAGTACATTCAAGGACGTTTCAATGTGTTCCAGTACAGTTCTGTGCAGAAACAATGCAGCGTGGTCAACTTTGTTTACAGCACCTGCAATGCACTGAAAATGCAAGCGCTGATGTGAACTATGACATTGACAACCATATAACCTTCTTTCTGTGCGTTTGTGATGCCGAAAAAGCAACTGAAACACATGTAGTGTGAACTGGCCCTAAAGGTTATTAGAGGTCAGGGAACGGGACTGACCAGGAATTGTGAATTCAATCAGACTAGTGGTGAAATACAATCAGCAATTGTATAATAATGTGAGATCTGAGCTGTAGCTGATAGAAAATGAGACACATTCACTTGATCAGTAAATAGATAGTTAAAGAGTGGGGCGGTGATCCATAGATTTGCATATGGGACAGGTGATGATGGGGTGGGGGAGGGGGTCAAGTTGTATAAGGAGACAGATTTAAAAGAGAAAAAGTGTTACAATGAAATATACACGGCATGAAACTTGCACATTTCCTAATTGGCAGAAGAACAGTACATAGGTAACATTCATCCACTTTCTAGTCATTAGGCAAAATCATAATTGATTGATCAATATTCCTGGCACTGACACAACCCAGAAAATTGATCTCCATTTTTTAGGATGTAGCCATGACTGGGATTAGAACCCATGACCCAAGTGCTGTAAGTTCTGAGCTCTAACCTGTAGAATAGTTACATTGTTTAAAAATGATAGAGCGAGCGCTGGTCAAATGATATAGACTAGTAAAATGGTATTACACAAGATAAATATAACCACGAACAGTAGTGCATGAACTCGTGAAAGGTCATCCTCCCTTGTGACAGTGTACTACACTATTGAGCACCTTTCTGGCTCCTGTGGCTGAGCTAATTCGTCCCCCAGGACCATTTGGGCTCCATGCTACCCCTTTCTCCACAACCTCTCCATCATCAGGGGGAGCTCTCCACTTGCTGTTTGTTAGCTACACTTGGAGTTATATACCATCTCACTAAGCATTTATAATTCATTGCAATTGTGAGCATATTTGTAGCCATATGTGTTGAATTAAAAATTGTTTTTCTTTGCTGTGGATTCAGCTAAACTCCTAAATTCCTTCTCCCATTTACTTACATACCCAGGGGGATCTATTCCATCTAAGTCCATGAGGATGTTATGTATCCTTGAAGTCATATTTTTGGGGGTTCTCACCCCATTCATTAATTTTTCCAGAGGATTAATTTCCTCCAATGACCTCATAGGTTGTGGTAGACTTGTATCAAATGATATAGCTGGTTCTCCATTCATCCAACCTAGTAAATAAATCTTTTTTTTTTTTAACATTTTGAAATGTGCATAATTTCCCTTACAATATCTTTCAAGCATGCTGTCAGGAATGGACTTGCCAGTGGTGGTGGGACTCACCTGCCTTGTGGGCTGCAGTACCCTGGCCAGCGGGTGCTCTCAGCAGCCAGAAGCTCACTCCTGTAGTCAGCCAACACCTGAAGCTGATTGCAGGAAGTGTATTTAAGGAATGACCAGGCCTGTGATCAGGGCCTTGGTGTATGTTTCCCATGAGCCCCTGTACCTGAATCCTGTCTGCTTCCTGCCTGATCCTGATTCTGCTTTAATCCTGGACTCTGCCTGTCCTGACCTCGGCTATTCCTGACTATGCTTCCGCCTGCTCCTTGTACCTTGCCTGCCTGTTTGCTACCGACCCGGCCTGCCCGACTACGTTTAGTATTGTTCTTATTGTTATCTGTTGGAGGTTTGGTTGCACTGTGTTTATGTTTAGTCTTGCACTGCATTTATGTATTGTTTAGTCTTTAATAAATTGTATTGTTTTATACTATACCTGAGAGCCTGTGTTTCCCTGTGTCATTCCACACATTTCTGGTCATACCCGGATCCCTAACAGAACACCAAGGCCATTCTTGACCAGAAGTGGCTGCACAGGGAAGCCATCTTGGCTTATTGTTGCTGGGAAGCATGCATCTTGATGAGATGGTGTATTTGTCTCTGCTAGTCTTTGATGACAGAGATTATGCTTATCAGACTCTGAAGAGTATACCAGGGATCAACTACTAGAATGCATAAGGATCGCTCATTGCTTAGTAGATCAGGGCAACCATTGAGTTCTCTGAGGTGCAACCATTGATTCAGGTTTGTGCAGAGTTGGCTTCATCTGGTACCCCCGAATGCAGGGATGAATTTTTGCCACCATTTAGTGCCGACCAGGTAGAGTCCCTGGTGTGGTTATTGAAGGATGATGTGGATTACTTCTTGGAGCGTTATTCTGCATGTTTACAAACAGGTGCTAAGAGATTGTATAAACGCAGTGCAGTCGTTGACCAGACAGGCTTTGTGTAAGCTGAGCTTTGTTCAACCCCTACTGCAGACATGGTCAGACTTGTTGCACCCAGCCTCAGTCAGCTTGCAACGTCATTCCTCTGCTCAAAGGCACTCTTCCTGCATCCCCGACAGCACCCCCAGTGACAGCCCAGTATACTCTGCTAACTACCACATATCAGTCCCCTGCTCCCACTCGCTGCACCTATCCTATCTTTAACCCTGTAAAGAAGCCCTCTGTAGCAACTGCCCCCCTCCTTTGTTCCATCCCTCAGCTCTTCTCTGCCTACAGCTGCTCTATCCACTTACAAACCTGCGCTTACTTCCTGTGCTCCAGTAACTAAAACCAGAAAAAGCGAAAATTCTTTCCAATCAATACCATCCTGCCAGTATCCAGACCGTCAGCCTGCCGTCTGAGAAGCCGCCTTCCGTGGTTCAGCCTGATACCCTGATGCCCGATGACCCAGTGTACCCTACCCAGCTTGATGTGTCTACCCAGCCTGATGGTCCTATTATGCCAGATGACTCGGTGCCCGCTGTCGAGTCAGACGATCCAATGCCTGATGACCCGGTGCCCGCTGTCGTGCCTGGTGACCCGATGCCCGCTGTCGAGCTAGATGACCCGGTGCCCGCTGTCGAACCAGATGACCCGGTACCCACTGTCGAGCCAGATGACCTGATGCCAGATCACCCGATGCCCGCTGTCGAGCCAGAACGATCCAATGCCTGATGACCCGGTGCCCGCTGTCAAACCAGATGACCCTGTACCCGCTGTCGAGCCAGATGAACCTGATGCCAGAGAGGTTTGACCCGTGTGTGCGAGCCAGATGACCGCTGTGAGCCAGATGATCTGAGGCCAGATGACCCGTTGCCCACTGTCGAGCCAGATGACCTGATGCCTGATGACCTAGTGCCCGCTGTCGTGCCTGGGGACCCGATGCCCGCTGTCGAGCCAGATGACCCGGTGCCCACTGTCAAACCAGACGATCCAATGCCTGATGACCCGGTGCCCGCTGTCTTGCCAGATGACTCGGTGCCCGCTGTCATGCCAGTTGACTCGGAGCCCGCTGGTCGTGCCTGGTGACTCAGTGCCCGCTGTCTTGCCAGATGACTCGGTGCCGCTGTCGTGTCAGTTGACCCGAGCCCGCTGTCGTGCCAGATGACTCGGTGCCCGCTTGTCTTGCCAGATGACTCAGTGCCCACGGTCTTGCCAGATGACTCGGTGCCCGCTGTCGAGCTTGGTGACCCGGTGCCCGTGGTTCTGCTAGATGGCTCGGGTCCGCTGTCATGCCAGATGACTCGGTACCCGCTGTCGTGCCAGATGACTCGGTGCCCGCTGTCGAGCTTGGTGACCCAGTGTCCGCGGTTCTGCTAGATGGCTCGGTGCCCGCTGTCGTGCCAGATGGCTTGGTGCCCGCATTCGAGCTTGGTGACCCAGTGCCCGCTGTCGTGCCAGATGACTCGGTGCCCGCTGTCATGCCAGATGACTCGGTGCCTGCTGTCGAGCTTGGTGACCCAGTGCCCGTGGTTATGCCAGATGACTCTGGTGCCCGCTGTCCCTGCCAGATGACTCGGTGCCCGCTGTCGGGCTTGGTGACCCAGTGCCCGCGGTTCTGCCAGATGACTCGGTGCCCACTGCTCCGCCTGATGGCCCGGTGCCTGCTGCTCCGCCTGATGGCCCGGTGCCTGCTGCTCCGGCTGATGGCCCGGTGCCCACTGCTCCGCCTGATGGCCCAGTGCCCGCTGCTCCGCCTGATGGGCCGGTGCCCGCTGCCTTGCCTGCTACTCCGACTGATGGCCCGGTGCCCGCGCTGCTGCCACCTGATTGGCCCGGGTGCCCGCTGCCTTGCCTGCTGCTCTGCCTGATGGCCCGGTGCCCGCTGCTCCGCCTGATGGCTCGGTACCCACTGCTCCGCCTGATGGCTCGGTACCCCGGCTGCTCTGCCTGATGGCCCGGTGTGCCCGCTGCCTTGCCTGCTGCTCCGCCTGATGGCATGCTGCTCCGCCTGATGGCCCAAGGCCCGCTACACCGCTTGATGGCCCGGTGCCCCGCTGCTCCACCTGATGGCCCAGTGCCCGCTGCCTTGTCTGCTGCCCAGCCTGACGTGCCTCTGCCTGCTGCCCAGCCTGACGTGCCTCTGCCTGCTGTAAACCGCCTGACATGCCTCTGCCTGCTGTCCCGCCTGACGTTGCCTCTGCCTGCTGCCCAGCCTGACGTGCCTCTGCCTGCTGTCCCGCCTGACGTGTCTCTGCCTGCTGCCCAGCCTGACGTGCCCTCTGCCTGCTGCCCAGCCTGACGTGTCTCTGCCTGCTGCCCAGCCTGACGTACCAGCTCCTGATGCCCAGCCTGCTTCTGGAAATCCTGTGTCCAGCAATCTGCCTTCCTGCAGTCTCCTACAAAAAGATAGGCCTATCAGCAGGAGACCCAGCCAATCGCTTGATTCCGGCAGTGGGATGTCCAGACAGTTGCTGGACCCAGGCGGTGGAACATTTGGGCCATTACGGACTGTTTGGAGCATCCTGAGGCCGCTCCTTGAGGGGGGGGGGTACTGTCAGGAATGGACTTGCCAGTGATGGTGGGAGATATTGTTTTTATTTTAGAAAAAAACACACAACCAACAAACATTTTCTACAAAAGTATAAAAAAAATAAAATAACACAACAACATCACATTCCATCATGTGCAAACATAAAAGTAAACATTTCAAAGCCATACTAGAGAGTCCTTATGGCTGAAGCAATATGTACGCAAGGCCCTTACAGCCGGAAACAAAGATTTGCATTCACGGCTTTTATGCCTAGAAAACAAACGTGGCCTTTATGGCCCAATAAATCTGCATATATGGCCTTTATGGCCTAATAAGAAAGCACTTATGGCCTTTATGGCCGAATACAATAGCATATGTAGCCTACATGGCCTATAGTCAAAAAACACTGTACAAAACATCACACAAAACAACATTACTTAGACTGAGGAACATAGATCTTCGGTCCATGTAGCCTTTCTTCAAAAAAAATCATCTCTGAAAATCTAAGGGAGGGTGGAAGGAGAAAGAAAACAGGATAGTTTTACCAACACCCAGAGATCAACAGGCGCAACTACAGGCCTGATATTCCTCCACGCCTTATCCAGACCCCTCAACGCCGCCACCTGTCTTTTCTCAAGACCCCAAACTTTCCCCACCTCACCAAGAATGCCGCGCACCACCTCCGGGACAGGAAGGACATTCTTCCGTATACAGGACACTTGGCACCGTGCATTCCACGTGAAATACCGGACAACTAGCTAACTAAATAAAGAGTGTCCAAATCAAAATCTTGCAATGCTCCATATACCCACTCTGCATAAGACATGCAGTGCAAGTAAGGAACACCCAGAGCACTCCCCACCTCTTTGTAGACTTCAACATTGAAGGGACACTGAAGCAGGAAGTGGTCCCATAGTTTCCACTTCACCCCGACACTCCTCTCTCGGACAGCCGCGGTCATCCAGAGAGGTACTTCAAGTTTCCCCTCACGAAGAGTCTGCCGTGAAAACCGAGCCAGGCCTGGTCCCTAAACTTGAAGGGAATCCGCTGAGAATTTAATAAGCGTAAGCCCTCCCGCATAATATGGCCCCGGCAATCCCTCAAGGCCAGCGGTGCATGACAAACAACGGACACAATCCTCTCACCCAGGAGCTTCCTAGGGAGGGACTTAATATCCTCCGCTGTCACAAGCGCCACCACCTAAGTATTTTCAGGCTCGGGGCAACATAAGTCGGGAGCTCACCGTTCTTAACCCTCAGGCTTTTCACTAGCCCACCACTCTCCCAGCAACTCAGAAAAGGCCTAAACAGATTCCGGAAGAGGCTTACCCACGCAGGAGGTCTCTCTGCCAGCATGTTACCAAAAGTGTGCTTCAAAAACACCAGAGAGAAGAAGGACTACCGGGTTGACCATACCTAAGCCACCCTTCCTCCTGGATAGGTAAGTCACATCTCGCTTCACAAGGTTCAGGCTGCTTCCCCATAACAGCTGGAAAAAGCAACTGTAGATCCTCGTATAAAGAGACTCTGGCAAGATGCAAACTGTGCTGACATACAAAAATATGGGGATCAGGTAAGTTTTGATCAGATCAACCCTTTCCCTCAAGGAGAGCCACCACCCCTTTCAGCATTTCACCTTGACTTCGGCATTGGTCAGCCTGGCCTCCCAATTCGATTTGCCATAATCGGCCGGGCCAAATTCAATGCCTAATACTTTGACGGACTGCTGAGGCAAAGGGAAAGCGTCCGGGAGCACAACACCTAACCAAAGGACTTCAGACTTGTCCTGATTGATCTTGAACCCCGATGCCTTGGAATACTGCTCTACCTCTGAGACAACCACCTGCGCCTCCACAGTGCTGACGACCGGAAAGCAGCGTGTCTGCGACTGACGCCAGGCGCCAGAAAAGAATCTTTGCCAGAATCTTTCTATCAACATTGGGAAGACTGATGGGGCGCCAGTTTTCTCAGTCATTGAAGTGTCCTTACCCTTTGACAGCAAAGATAACAGCAGACTTTCTCATGGAGGGAGGGAGTGAACATATCTTTTTCCTTGCAGACAGCAGTTAAATACCTCCGCGAGATGGGGTGCCAAGCTAGTCTTGAAAGATTTATAAAATTCTGCCGTCAAACCATCTGGCCCAGGGTTTTTCTTAATTGCCAGACTGTCTATGGCTTTGGCTACCTCTGCCTCTGTTATCTCATCCATCAAACTTGGAAGCGTGGGCGTCACTCCCCAGACCCGGTGTAGAGGTCCAGAAAACTTAACATCCTCTCCCGGTCGAGGTGCTTCTTCCCCAGAAGATCTCTATAAAAGGACCTCGAGACCTCCAGAATCCCTGATCTGGATTTTGTCAGGAACCTGTACTACCTCTCAGGCCTAAGACCGTTTTAATCGCTGCGCCTTGTCTGCAATTCTGGTAAGGGTCGGCGAGTGATATTTCCCGTAATCCCTCTCCAGAACCAAAGAAGCGTGCCGGTCATACTGATGCTTCCTAAAGAAGGAGTTTCACCTCCGCAATCGCCCCAGGATCACCACCAACTGAGACAAGGCGGTCAAGTCTCCTCCGCAGCCGCTGGTAGGCAACATATCTATCAAGTTGTACCTTTTTACCTACGCCCTGAAAAACCCACTAGTTCGCTTTTTAGTGAGCTCCCACCACTCCGTCTTACTGCTGCAGAAATCCAGAAGGGTCACCTGAGCCTGGAAAAAATTCCTCAAAGGATTGGCTCACACTCTCGTCTCGCCGAATTCATCTTCCAGATGCCCCCTTCCTTTCAGCGGCGTATCTTGAAACATTCAAGATCACAGATAGCATAAGGTGATCAGAAAACTCAACCGCCCGACACACAGTGCCGAGAGGCAGAGTTCCCCTTTAAAAAAAAACCTATCTATCCTGCTCTCACTCCTACCTCGCCTAAAGGTGAAGCCCGTGCTGTCTGGCTGCACTTAACTAGTGCATCTACCAGACCTGCATCCCTGACTATCGCATTAAGAAAAACGCTATCATAGCCCAACCTGTCAGTGAAGCCTCTCCTGTCTTTGGGCCTAGTGATGGTGTTAAAATCACCTCCAAAGACAACTTGCCGGCCGTAAAAAGGAAAGGCCTAATCTTTGTGAAAAGGCATTTCCTTTCCCACTTGGACTGCGGGCCATATATATTTGATTAAAACGCAGGTCATGCCCCCTCACAGAGATGTCACAGGACCATGCACCTTCCCGATCTCTACCTCAATAATCCGCCTGCACGTTACCATACCAGTAAAAAGCACTGCAACCTCACTGTAAGGCTCGGCCGCAAGAGACCAAAAGGAGGGGCCACGCCTCCACTCCCTCTTTGCCAGGTGGATATCGGCAAGGCTATTGAGCCGGGTCTCTTGCAAAAACAAAACATCAGCATCAACCTCGCTGAGCAAAAATAAGGCCATGTTACGAGCACTCACAGACTTTAAGCTGGCAACATTAATAGTTGCCACTTTTACTGGGGTGGAACTGCCATCAGGATAATTAAGATAGGCATTCCTCAGTCTGACTATCTACCACTGGGGCCCCCTGTACTATGGGGGTTGTCCCAGCACTGTTCTCAGCCTCCTCCATCAATCCACAGAGTCAGATAAAACATCCCCGCGATCTGATAGAGACTCAAACTTATTCCCTGAAAGTATGTCATCCTGATCTGAAGAGCACAGAGACTCTGAGGATGCTGAGAAAGCAAAACCCTATTTTTCCTCTTCTTCCCTCCGACCAGGACCCACTCCTCCCCATCCCCAATAGGGGAAATCACCACACTCTCTGATGAAGCTTGGGAAGAGCCTTCCCCCTCAACCGCCCTCCTCCTGCACATACCCCCACCTCTTCTTCCCACAGCCCTAGCACCCCTGCCTGAGACCACAGGACACCCAGGCTTAGGGACCTTCAGCAAAACCTTCACACACCCCTCCGCCCCACGGGCTGCTTCTGCCAAAATGGAACTCTTAATAGGTTCAATACACACACGAGGGTTTAACACAGACACAAGCGGATGGGTAGACTTGACCACAGGCTGCACAGCCGACAAAACTGACACGGAAGGGACAGGGGGTTCACAGACACAGAGACCGGCACACCAGACAGAACTGATACAGAAGGTTTAGACACACACCAGGTGACCCAGACTTAGGGACAGACAATGGATCTAAGAACAGGGGAGCTAACTAAGGACGGAACTGGGGGGCCAGCTGACCTGAGGGAGGAACTGCCACCGGGAGCGCAGAGTCCTCTGCATCCATCCTGAGGAGCTCCTCCGCAAGCTCCCCTGATTATGGAGAGCCTCTGGGCACAAGCTGTAAGGGTGCCCCAATACATTACAAAGATTGCAACGAATTATGTTGCAACTCCTGGCCAGGTGGCCCAGACCCTGACACAGGGAACACCTCTGTTTTGGGCAGGAAGAGGAAAAATGGCCCTTATCACCACATCTGTGGCACAATTTGGGTTGCCCCTGATAAAAGACCACAATTCGATCTCTCCCAATAAACGCAGATGAGGGCATATGCTGTACAACATTATCAAAGACCCTGAGCTTAACCTGGGCAGTCCATCCACCTGTCCATATACCTTTGTCATCAAGCACTTTGCTTAGGGACCCCAGCACCTCACCATACCTCCTCAGCCACACAATGAGGTCCGCTGGGGGAATGGACTCATTCCGTACCAAAAATTAGTTATGTTCTTTATTAATGGTTGCCTAGACACCACTCTAGGGGACAAACCCTCCCACTCCTTGGAAGACTTGCAGGACCTATCATACCTCTCCCAGAAGAGGTCCAAGCTTTCTGG